AAAAAAAAAAAAAAAAAAGAATCCATGAATTGATTCATTCCTCTGTTTTGTTTTTTACCCTTTAGTTTTTGCTTCTTTCAGCCATGTTTTGTAGTTTCTCAATGTAGAGGTTGCCCATATTTTGTCAGATTTATCACTAAATGTTTTTTATTGTTTGAAGCTGTTGTAAATAGTGGTTTTTTAATATTTAAATTTCTGATTGTTGCCAGTATCTAGAAATACAAGCGATTCTTGCATATTGATCTTGTGTCTTACACCTTTGATAAACTTATTATTCTCGTGGCTTTTTAGGGGTAGATTTCATTGGATTTTTTACATAGACTATAATGGTCTTCTCTGAAGAAAGTTGCTTTTATTTCTCCCTTTCCAATGCGAATGCTTTTTATTTCTTTTTTCTTGCCATGTGGCATTGTCTAGACTTACAATACAATGTTGATTCAAAGTGGTGAGAAGGGCCATCCTTGATTTGCTCTTGTTCTTAGGAGAAAGACATTCATTTTCTCACCATTAATATTTATGCTAGCTGTAGTTTTTTTGTAGATGCCCTTTATCAAGTTGAGGACATTTCCTTCTAGTTTTAATTTGTTGAGATTTTATCATGGATGGGTACTGGATTTGGTCAGATGCTTTTTCTGAGTCTACTGAGATAATCATGATTTTTAAAAAAGGTCTGTGTATTAGTTATCTATTGCTGCATAAAAAATTACCCCAAAACTTAGCATCTTAAAACAGCAGTTTCATTTAGAATCCAGATGCTCCTTAGCTGCATGCCTCTGGCTCAGGGTCTCTCATGAAGTTCTAGGTCAAGCAGAAAGGCAGGATTGTGGTCGAACTTGAAAGCATAACTAGCTCTAGTAGTTGTTTTCAGGCCTCAGACCTCGTGCACATGTGCCTCTCCACAGGGCTGCCTTATGCTATGACAGCTGGCTTTCCTCAGGGCTAGTGATCTAAGATAAAAGGACTGAGAAGGAGAGAATACCAATACAGATGCTGTGGCCTCTTATAATCTTTTCTCACAAGTGATAGTCCATGATTTCTGCCATATAGTATGTATTGGATACAAGTCAACAGATGCAGCCCACACTCAAGATCTGGGGACAAAATAAGAGTGTGACTGCGTGGAAGTGGCCACCACTGGGAGCCATTTGCGAGACTTCCTACCATTGTACATTAAAATAATGAATTACACATTTTTGAATGTTAACCTTGCCTTCCTGGGATTAATACTACGTTTGCATGATTTTTTTATCCTTTTTAATATATTATTGGAGTCAATTTGTTAAAAATGTGCCAATAATTTTTGTATCTATATTTATGATAGAAATTGATCTGTAGTTTTCTTGTAATGTTTTTGTCTGGTTTGGGTGTTGAAATGATGCTGGCTTCATATAATGAGTTGGGAAGTATTTCCTTCTCTACCATTTTTTGGAAGAGTTTCTGTAGAATTGGTATTATTTCTTTCTTAAATGTTTTGTTTACATCACCAGTGGTGCTGTCTGGTCCTGGAATTTTCTTTGTGATAAGGTTTTTGGTTACAAATTTAATTTCATTAATAGACATAGGCCTATTCAGGTTTTCTATTTTTGTCTGTGAGCTTTGGTAATTTTTGTCTTTCAAGGAATTTGTTTAATCTAAGTTCTTGAATTTATTGGCATAATATTCTTCATAATATCTGTAGAATCTGTAGTGATGTCACATCTTTCATTTCTGAAATTGGCAATGTATGTTTTTTACCTTTTTGTCCTTATCATTCTGGCTAGAGGTTTATCTATATATCTATATATCTATATCTATATCTATATCTATATCTATATCTATATCTATATCTATATCTATATCTATATCTATATCTATATCTATATCCATATCCATATCTATATCATTTATCTTCTTTGAAAACCAGCTTTGGTTTCAGTGATTTTCTTTTTTGTTTTCTATTTTCTATTTTATTTATTTCCACTCTGATGTTTATTCATTCTTTTCATTCTTCTGCTTAGTTTGGGTTTCAATTGCACTTCTTTTCTAGTATTTTAAGATCTAATCTCATTGTTTTGAAACCTTTTCTACCATGTGCATTTAATACTATAAATTTTTCTACAGTTAAAGTACAACTTTAGCTGCATCCTGCCATTTTGGTATTTTGTGTTATTATTTTCATTTAGTTCAAGATACTTCCTAATTCCCCTTTTGTATTATTTAGTTTCTGAATATTTGCTGTTGTACTTACTTTTTAAAGTACTTCTTTTTCCCCCTCTGGATCCTTAAGATATTATCTTTATCGGTGGTTTTAAGCAATTTGATATTGATGTGCCTTTGTGTCATTTTCTTCTTATTTCTTGTAGTTGGGGGTTCATTGGCTTCTCTGGCCCATGTGCTTATATATTATAATTATAATTTAGTTGCTTCAGTGAAGTGAGTGGTTTCCCATCCATATCACATCTATTGCATGTTGCTTTCACATCTGTAAGAAGAACACATCAACACTGGAAAACATTGAGTTCATCTAATCTCCTTGTGATAAATTGTGAGTTTTTGGTCATGAGTAAAGGACTCTGCCTTGAGTCTTTTAAAGGCATTTTCAACTATTTTCTGACCTGATAAAGTATGATGATATCCTTCTCATTTGACTTAATTAGAATCAAACCTGTGCTTAGTAGTTGAGATACACTCTTAGGACACAGTCGATGCTAAATAACACAGTTTAGTGTGTTTCCTTTTTTACATTTCACTGTGCTCATACATATACATACAAATGTCTATATTTATGTCTGTATCTATCTGCATGTATATCTGTTTCTATTGATATCTATTCGTATGCATAGATTGAGTCCCCATGTGGAATCGTCCTATATATATATAAATTAAAAGTGGGATGCTTTCTAGAATAACCAATCTGCATATTTTTGACATTAAAGTTTGAGGAGAGAGTTCTGAGTTCAATTTCTTTCTTTTTTTTTTTATTCCCAGATATGTGTCACAAAGATGTCTACACGGAACTGCCAGGGAATGGACTCAGTGATCAAACCCCTGGACACAATTCCTGAGGATAAGAAAGTCAGGGTTCAGAGGACACAGAGCACTTTTGACCCATTTGAGAAACCAACTAATCAAGTAAAGAGGGTGCATTCAGAGAACAATGCTTGTATTAACTTTAAGACCTCCTCCACTGGCAAAGAGTCTCCGAAAGTTAGGCGGCACTCCAGCCCCAGCTCGGTAAGTGCAGCTTCTCGCTTATCAGTGGCTAAACAGGAGTAGCTCTTAGATGAGCCGCACGCTGTGCTGGAGAGGGTAGGTGGCTTTATCCGTGCATTAGGATGCTTTCTCTCCCAGGGTGGTTTAATGTTTTGGAAGAGAGAGAGAGAGTGTGCTCGAGCAAACTAGATGCACACTCTTTATTCATAAGCACCCAGCAAGCAAATGAGAATTGATTCAATTTATTTTTGGAAAAATCCCTTTTTTTTTTCTAGTTTTTTCCAATTAGAGGAGTTTATGATTAAATATCCTTGGGTATTTCATACCCTTGGAGAGGACATTGAACTTGACTGTGCTTGCAGGCAGTAAGGATAGTTCTGAATTTGGCAAGTTCACAAAGAATGTTAAAATTTGTTCACTTGTCTTATTACAGTTTGTTTTCAGTGTAAATATTTTAAAATTTAAGACTTAAACATTGAATCTTCTTAAAGAAGATCCTTTTTATTATAATGGAATTTTCTAAACTCAAACTACATCTAAATTCAAACTATATCAAGTCGTGCATTTTAACCTAAGGTGGTATGAAGATCTGAGGTGACTGCTGCTTTTTGACTGTAAAATTTTTATGGAAACTCCTGTTTGCAAGGTTGGCCTGTACTTGACATTGTAAAAAATATCCTTATGATCTTTTTAACTTAAGTACTTTTAAGATTTAACGTACACTTAAGAACCTTTGGAATAGATGTTCTAAGAGTTGAAAAGGTAAGAGAATGCTCACAGAATTTTGATTCTGTCATCTTGCTAAGAAACACCTGCCATTTTAAATATTAACACAAATTTTAAATATTAAATTCCATGAGAGCCAAAACAGAGCAAGAAGTGTCAACTGCTAGAAGAGTAGTGGCACTTCAATTTAATTAAACTGTTTGACACTGCACAAATTTTGTGTCACATTTTGTGTTAATGTAGCTCAAATAAATATTAATGCACCATTCGTGAAGAGCACTGATTACCTGGTTTTCTCCAAACTGGCCCCCATAATCTTGTCTGTGATTGCAACGTAGCATCCACCGAGGTCACAGATACATCACTACCTTCTGGGAGAGCATTTAGATTTAGTATCATTTAGAAAAAAATGAAAGGAGTTGTTGAAAATGATGAAGCCTGTGTTCTGGAAAGAGATTTATATATTTTTTACTGCATAGTTATCTTACATATATCATTCTATAAATGATATATGGCATTCTCAGATATTGCAATGAGGCACACTTATACTAAAATATTATTCACTTTTTAAATGAAATTTAACTTTAGTCGTCCTGTTTTTTATGTGCAAGAGTAGTTCTAATCCACTGGTGCGTTACTTCTCTTGTTGTCCCATTGTTCCTGCTTCGGCCACTGGGAGCTCTTTAGGTTGGTTCCGTGTCCTTCTGAGATGTGTTCATCCCTTTGTTTTTTGAGCACTTCCATACTTTCTGGTTGTACAAGACACTCTTGGTTTATATTGTATTTTCTCAGCCCCAGATGTAGAATCGGTCATTTCTCCAAAGAGCCCTGGTTCCTTTTATGAGAAAATGGTATTTAGAAACCAAGATGTAGGTGCTGGATATGCTTGTTGCTACCGGGGTCATGTAATTTTGAAAGTCAAGGTGTACATCATGGTATAATGGGGTTTCAACATTTATTTTTAATTTCTAATAAGAAATTAACTAAAATCCTTATCAAAGAAGTTGAGACATCTGATGCTGTCTGTGTCTCTATCTTTAAAGTTAAATTTATTGTTTATTAAAGTAATGCTTGAACATAGCTTAAAAGGTCAAATAGAGGACTCTGAGAGGATGGGAGTGGTATAGGTTTTGAAACGCCTCAGATAATTAGATGGAAGAACAAGAATAGTAAAACCAAAACCAATGGATGACATTGACGACAAGGTGACGGTATCTTCCTGAACCTCGAAATAGGAGTGAGGGGAACAGATCATGAACAACTTTAAAAACTGCACAGCATCTGAAACTGTGAGGGAGGATGCTCAGGGATGAGTGAGTCCACATGGCAGCTCGCTGGTCCATTTTTAGGACACTGACATCAGCTGGGAGGGGAATTCGATGGCTCCTGTGAGTGGATGAATGCAAGGAGACCATGGGTGGTCTACTGGTGTTGGAGTGGTCGGCTGCTCTTTCTCCTGTGACTTTTCCAGACTGTCCATCGGAAGCACCTTTCCAGGCCAAAGCCCTGCACTGAATAGAAAGTGTTAGAGTCCACTTCTGTGCAGCGTAGATTCAACAGGGGCAGAGGAAATGGTGTTGGAGAAAGAAACAGATGGGGGAATATAGAGTGTGCTAGATTGGCTTTTTTGTAACTTCATGAAAATAGAGTAAAGAAATTTATTCCATGGAGCTAGAAAAGCCATCTGGATCATACCCCTCTCTTATTAAACTACAGAAAAATTCATTTTACTTAAAAAAAAATCAATAGCAAAATTATTGGTTGAATCCCATATAAAACTATGAAGAAAACAGAATAAAGATTAGAATAACATCTTTACAGGTAATGAAAGCAAGCTAGAAGGAGGTAAAATTATCTTTATTTGTGGATTTTTATGTAGCTGGAAAATCTAAAAGAACCAACAGTGAGAGAAGTTAGCCAAATAGCAAGTTATATAAAATTAACATACAAAACCCAGTAGAAACCTTTATAGAACCAAACAAGAATCAGTGTTGAAACTAGTAAATAAAGCAAATGACTAAGCGTTTATTTTCTGTGATTCATATATGAAATTTACCTCATGATAATCTAGTCATTGATCAAGGGAAGTTTCTCTTTTAGATGTAATCCCACTAATAAATCAGGAAACAATAATAAATTTAAGAATCACCATTTGGCAACCCCTGATGAATTAATACGTGTAGGCAGTGGTTATCAATGCCTGCTAACATCACCAAAAAAGAGACAGCCAGACATGATGTCCTGATGGAAGTACGAGGTCAGACAATTAAGTTCTCAAACTCATCCTAGAAAAAGTGCTGCACCCCTCACTGCTGAATGTCACTACGGTCACCTTCGAAGTACTCCCCTTGGGAAGCTATGCACCAGCACCTAGTCCACCCTTCAGAGCAATTTTGGAACTCTTTCTGGAATGGCCATCAGAGCTGTTGTCGTATTACCCTTGATGTCCTGAATGGCATCAAAATGTCTTCCTTTCACTGTGTCCTTTATCTTCTGTTTAAGAAAGAAGTCATTGGGGGCCAGATCAGGTGAGTAGGGACGGTGTTCCAGTACAGTTATTTGTTTACTGGCTAAAAACTCCCTCACAGACAGTGCCCTGTGAGCTGGTGCATTGTTGTGATGCAAGAGCCATGAAGTTTTGGTGAAAAGTTCAGGTCGTTAAACTTTTTCACGTGGCCTTTTCAGCACTTCTAAATAGTAAACTTGGTTAACTGTTTGACCAGTTGGTACAAATTCATAGTGAAGAATCCCTCTGATATCAAAAAAGGTTAGCAACATCGTTGCCTCATGTTTGCGAACTTAATTGTCAGACCTCGTGTGTGTGTGTGTGTGTGTGTGTGTGTGTGTGTGTGTGTGTGTGTGTATCTTGTGGTTGACATTCAATATTATTCTACATCAGCTTCAGTTGTACAGCACAGTGGTCAGGCATCTACACAGTCTATGAAGTGATCCCCCTGATAAGTCCAATGCCCGTCTGGCACCCTACATAGTCTTTACAACACTATTAACTATATTCCCCATACTGTATTTTACATTCCTCTGACTATATTGTGACTACTACTTTCTACTTTCTAATCCCTTCACCTTCTCCCCCACCCCCAGCCCCTTTCCCATCTAGCAACCTTCAATTTTTTTCCCTTATATCTGTGTGTCTATTTCTATTTCGTTTGGTCATTTATTCTGTTCTTTAGATTCCACATATAAGTGAGGTCACATGGTATTTGTCTTTCTCAGTCGCTACGCTGTTCACAGACTGGTCATTGTCTGTATTAGAGTCATGACTAAAACCAAGGAACCAAGAGTGCCTTGACCTTGTGACCATCACACTCTTCGGTACGTCCCGAGTTTGTCCATATCATGGCACTTTAAAATTCAGGCAAAATGTAATGAATGTGATTTTATTTAAATTGGCATATTTCAACAGGTGTTTCACAGATTTTGTTTATTTGTTTCAGTCACTTTTTGCATGCCTACTCTTCCTGGGCCTAGTTCCTAGGGAGTGATTAATACGGTCACTGACAGCCCCAACTTTCCCTCCCTTTTTCCTGCCACCTCCTCCAACCCAGCTGTGCTCTTCAATGGCTAGCATGATTGGGAGTGCTCCTGGAGACTGTGCTCCTGTCTTGCTGGCCCAGTTTAGAGGGGATTTCATCGAGCTGTGCATTCATAAGCTGAGCTTAAAGAGAACATATTTTCAGATATTCGTGTTGAGATTACTGTCCTCTGTGCATTCCACAGATTCCTCAAAGTTTACGTTTTCTCATCAGCAGGAAAAATCTACATCCCGTGATAGGCAGGCCCAATCTGGAGAGGGGGAGAAGGTGCACACTTGAAAAGGAGAGTTCCGCTTCGGTTCTCAGATGGTTATCCTCAGGGATCTCATCTTGGCACTACTTCGTTCTTGTGGGGACTAGACAATTCCCAGACAGAACCAAGCCCCACTGTCAGGTTGTTACTACGTATGGTGCTTGGGTCTGTCCCTCTGTGTAGCATCTAGATCGATTTTGTAATCAACATACCCATCAAGTATGGATTACCTTTGTGCGGCTGTGTTTAGTAGCGCTCGAAACGCAGGATGATAGAGCCTGTTCTAGAGATCAGGGCAGAAGAAAGATTAGCCATGGCAGGATTCACTTCCTTGTTTCATGAAGTCACATAGTTCTAATGGAATCCTTCCCCACCTTGCCCGCACACCCACTCTCACAATTGCAGTGTAATGTAATAGAGAAGTGATTCTTACTTGTGGTTTTCCTGCAGTTCAGGTGGCCATCAACAGTCTTAGTCAAAGGGTTATG